ATAACCCAATAAGTGGTTAAGGAGAGATAACTCTCTTAAAAGTATGCTTACTTAACCAAACGTCTTGACCATACCAAACTGACATATAACATTGGTTTATCTTATTCAGACCTTGACCTCATTTTATTGGATCATGTTTAGTTTATATGATACTTGTAGTAAAGCTTTATATCTAGGACTATCAACATAAAATCAATGGTCTAAAGCAGGCGAGACATGTCAGCGTGTACACTCTTGTTTTCACAAGCTAGATGTTCTGTCTATATTTTTTATTAATTGTTGGAAACCTCTAGATAGCAATTGTCTAAGAACCTTGCTATTAAGGTTTTATATGTCCATTTTGGTGCCTTTCTATGTATTTGGCTTTCCGCTGATACGCTTATGCCAGTCGGACTGTTAAACCCATTCCATGTTAACAAAAGAGTCATATCAAAATCTAATCTTCAATAGCACCTACATTGTACACAGCAATTATGTGTTGGTCAAATTTCAATTTTCAGAAACAGTTGTGTGGAATGTCTTGAAAATACTTTTATAGGAAGAGCACTATCAATTTTGAGATCACTTTGTATAAAGTCAAAGTTTACTTTTTGCAGAAGATGAAGTGATCTCAAAATAGATTTTCTTCCTATTATATGACCACATTTTCAAATATGGTTGAAATCCAGTATGTAGTATTTTATTTTAAAAGCATCAAGAAAACACTCAGTCCCCAAGGATGTCTCAGCTCAGTAGTCAGTTCTTCGGTACTGACATGATTTATATAAATTATGAAATTTATAGAAAGAAATTTAGGTTTCAACTCCTTCAGGCAAAATTGATCTTTTAAAAACAGATTTAGCAATTGTGTTTATGTTCTTTATTATTTCTTCAACTGTTTATATTCTAATACATCCTTGGCTTTAAAAATATTCGGCTTTGAGCGTTCCTGATGATGGTAAATCGAGAAAACCGCTTCAACTGTTTCTATTCTAATACATCCTTGGCTTTCAAATATTCGGCTTTGAGTGTTCCTGATGATGGTAAATCGAGAAAACCGCTTCAACTGTTTCTATTCTAATACATCCTTGGCTTTCAAATATTCGGCTTTGAGCGTTCCTGATGATGGTAAATCGAGAAAACCGCTTCAACTATTTCTATTCTAAAACATCCTTGGCTTTCAAATATTCGGCTTTGAGTGTTCCTGATGATGGTAAATCGAGAAAACCGCTTCAACTGTTTCTATTCTAATACATCCTTGGCTTTCAAATATTCGGCTTTGAGTGTTCCTGATGATGGTAAATCGAGAAAACCGCTTCAACTGTTTCTATTCTAAAACATCCTTGGCTTTCAAATATTCGGCTTTGAGCGTTCCTGATGATGGTAAATCGAGAAAACCGCTTTAACTGTCTCTATTCTAATACATCCTTGGCTTTCAAATATTCGGCTTTGAGCGTTCCTGATGATGGTAAATCGAGAAAACCGCTTCAACTGTTTCTATTCTAATACATCCTTGGCTTTCAAATATTCGGCTTTGAGAGTTCCTGATGATGGTAAATCGAGAAACCGCTTCAACTGTTTCTATTCTAATATATCCTTTGCTTTCAAATATTCGGCTTTGAGTGTTCCTGATGATGGTAAATCAAGACAAGAGTGCACACACTGAAATGTCTCGCCTTCTTTACTTATCATTGATATTATGTTGATAGTCCTAAATATAAAGCTTTATTACACTGTCACATAAACTTATTATTAACCAAGTTAACTAAACATTGACCAATGAACCATGAAAATGAGGTCAAGGTCAGATGAACCATGCTAGGCAGGCATGTACAGCTAACAATTCTTCCATACAACAAATATAGTTGACCTATTGCTTTTAGTTTAAGAAAAACAGACCAAAACACAAAAACTTAACACTGAGCAATGAACCTTGAAAATGAGGTCAAGGTAAAAAAAAACTGTGTGACTGACAAATAGATCATAAAATATTTCCATACACCAAATATAGTTGAACTGTTGCATATAGTATTAGAAAAAAAGACCAAAACTCAAAAAATTAACTTTGACCACTGAACCATGAAAATGAGGTCAAGGTCAGATGACTGCCCGCTAGACATGTTCACCTTACAATCATTCCATACACCAACTATACTAGACCTATTGCTTATAGTATCTGAGATATGGACTTGACCACCAAAACTTAACCTTGTTCACTGATCCATGAAATGAGGTCGAGGTCAAGTGAAAACTGTCTGACGGGCATGAGGACTTGCAAGGTACGCACATACCAAATATAGTTGAACTATTGCATATAGTATTAGAAAAAAAGACCAAAACTCAAAAACTTAACTTTGACCACTGAACCATGAAAATGAGGTCAAAGTCAGATGACACCTGCCCGCTAGACATGTACACCTTACAATCATTCCATACACCAATTATAGTAGACCTATGGCATACAGTATAGGAAAAAAGACCAAAACACAAAAACTTAACTATAACCACTGAACCATGAAAATGAGGTCAAGGTCAGATGACACCTGTCAGTTGGACATGTACACCTTACAGTCCTTCCATACACCGAATATACTAGACCTATTGCTTATAGTATCTGAGATATGGACTTGACCACCAAAACTTAACCTTGATCACTGATCCATGAAATGAGGTCGAGGTCAAGTGAAAACTGTCTGACGGGCATGAGGACCTTGCAAGGTACGCACATACCAAATATAGTTGAACTATTGCATATAGTATTAGAAAAAAAGACCAAAACTCAAAAACTTAACTTTGACCACTGAACCATGAAAATGAGGTCAAGGTCAGATGACACCTGCCCGCTAGACATGTACACCTTACAATCATTCCATACACCAACTATAGTAGACCTATGGCATACAGTATAGGAAAAACAGACCAAAACACAAAAACTTAACTATAACCACTGAACCATGAAAATGAGGTCAAGGTCAGATGACACCTGCCAGTTGGACATGTACACCTTACAGTCCTTCCATACACCGAATATACTAGACCTATTGCTTATAGTATCTGAGATATGGACTTGACCACCAAAACTTAACCTTGTTCACTGATCCATGAAATGAGGTCGAGGTCAAGTGAAAACTGTCTGACGGGCATGAGGACCTTGCAAGGTACGCACATACCAAATAGAGTTATCCTATTACTTATAATAAGAGAGAATCTAACATTACAAAAAATCTGAACTTTATTTTCATGAAGTCACTGAACCATGAAAATGAGGTCAAGGACATTGGACATGTGACTGACAGAAACTTCGTAACATGAGGCATCCATATACAAAGTATGAAGCATCCAGACCTTCCACCTTCTAAAATATAAAGCTTTTAAGAAGTTAGCTAACGCCGCCGCCGCCGCCGCCGCCGCTGCCGGATCACTATCCCTATGTCGAGCTTTCTGCGACAAAAGTCGCAGGCTAGACAAAAACCGCTTCAACTGTTTCTATTCTAATACATCCTTGGCTTTCAAATATTCGGCTTTGAGCGTTCCTGATGATTGTAAATCGAGAAAACCGCTTCAACTGTCTCTATTCTAATACATCCTTGGCTTTCAAATATTCGGCTTTGAGCGTTCCTGATGATGGTAAATCGAGAAAACCGCTTCAACTGTTTTTATTCTAATACATCCTTGGCTTTCAAATATTCGGCTTTGAGCGTTCCTGATGATGGTAAATCGAGAAAACCGCTTCAACTGTTTCTATTCTAAAACATCCTTGGCTTTCAAATATTCGGCTTTGAGCGTTCCTGATGATGGTTAATCGAGAAAACTGCTTCGGACTCATGAAATTTATAAAATGTTGTTTCATTTTTTTTTCTGTTCAAATAGGTCCAGTTTAGTAAATATGACCTTGACCTAAGACATAGTGACCTAAAAACCAGATTGTCCACTCGTTTTATGTGACCATGTAACATAGTAAGGTTGCAATCACACTTTTCTGTACTAATTTCTGCCTTTTTTTTTACAAACTTTGACCTTTATTTATGAGTTATTTACAACGAAATCAATAGGTTACTTCCTCTCATCATATGTGACCATATGTCCAAGTACGATTGCAATCCCATATATTCTATTTGCTATAATATATGGGAAACAACTTTACTGAACAAATTTCAGTCTATATCAAGTAACTTTTACCCTTGACCTCTGATATGGTAACTTGTTTTGCTAATGCAACTGGGATATGAATCAAATCAAACCAGGGTTTTGTAAGTGGATTTGAATAACATAGTTTCGTAAGAAATAAAAACAAATGCTTCAATCATTCATGTTATGACATCAATGACAATAAAGTAATGTATGGCAACAATTGCTGCTTGAATTATTCTGTGTTGCTCAGTGTGTAGTTTAATGTTGTGTTTCGTATACTGTTGTCTCTTGGTCGTTTTTTCGGATGGGTTTTATTCTGTGGCGTAGTCAGTTTGTTTTCGACTTATGAGTTTGAATATCCCTTTAGTATCTTTGCCCCTCATTTTCATGTAAATATTGCCTTTAATGAATTTCATGTTATGATACTTTTACACATATAAGGAGCTGTATTTTACTTCAGTCACATTCTTCTGTGTTTCAGAATTTGAAGTTGAAAGAACAAATTGTTTTGAATTCAGTTGCAGATCCGGGATTTGAAAAAGGGGGATCCAACCATGGCAACCTAAGGAGTGGGACTTGTAAATAGTCTATGCATTAACCATATATTAAGTTCCCCTAAACAACCATTTGAAATTGGACAATGTCTTGTGGCGAAACAAAAGAATTTAACCAATCCACTATGTAATGAAGCCGTATCATCAACTATGACTCATTGAGTTTAAGTTAATTTCAGGTGCCATTAGTGAAGCTGCAATGCTAATCCTTCAGGAACACTTGCCAGTTGGTAGTGGGCTTCATGTTTCTTAATCTTAAATTTCAAATATAGAGTTTACTGGGATGTTGTTTTTCCTGTCATCTTTGGTTTCTGGCCATAGCAATGACAATGTCCGTCTTTCTTAATTGGTTTATTGGTATCTTTTTACTTTCATTACAAAAAACATATGAAGATTAATTTGATTCACCATAAGCAGTGGTGTTCAAAATCAAATACATACTGGAATCCATAAACATGAAACATTAAAAGCAACTTTAAAATGATCATCAGAAAACTAGCTGTATGTGAAGTCTGAACCCAAATTCCAGAAGTTGTGCGCACTTTTGCCTGAAAAGAAGTAGGTTCACCCCATTGGTCCTTTAATTCCTTTTGATTGTCATAATCATTTGACTGAGAAATCTGTGCCATAATTGACTAATTTAAAATGAACAAGTGAGGGCAATGACATGGTTAAAGCATCAATTGTGCAGTTTGTTGATAAAAATCCTAATTTTGAATAATTTTTGCATCAATAAGGTCTCATTTTTGAATAATTATTATTTTTTGGGATTTTGAGAACAATGGCAACATGCACAGACCTTGTATAAGTTCTAACTTTATTGCACAAAAATACATACATGTATATAAATGTTTTACAAAAGTGTCCTCTATGGATATCAAATTAATTAAATATAAACATTAAACCTATCATAAGGTGCATTAAGTTGTTAGTGAGTATTATGAATACATTACGTACACATTTTAAAATATGTCATATACAAATAATTTTCTTTTCTATGAACTGTAAATAATATAGGTGTCACAATGTTGGACAATAAATGCTTGATTACAACAGACAGTAAAACATTATTTGAAATTTTCAAAATGAAGTAGTCTTTTAGATAATAGTCAAGTAAAAAATTTCTTTTAAAGGGTTTAAAAGGAGCAATAAAGACTGGGGACTTAACATTTATGGGACAAATTAACACCTTTTAACATATAACAAATAATATACCTTTAAAAAAACAAAGAAAACGTGTTCTAAAAATTATGATTTAAAATAAGTCCATGGATAACAGCAAACAACAAATAAATAATACAAGTAAAAATATAATATTTGTCATGACTATACTCATCGGATATCTTAAGTCAGATGACTCTTTATTTCTGGTTGTTTTTTTTACTTAATCTTACTATAAAGAATTTATAATAAAGGCTTCACAATTGAGACTATAAATGCTTGATTCCTATTGTTTTATTTCATATTCAATAATTATTTTCATTATTTCATCATCCTTGTACAAAGAGTAAAAAATACTCAAAATATTGCTTTTCTTCCTTTTAACAGTCACCACTGAATGACCCTTTCACAAGTTTATTATGATATTTAAACTGGTTGAATACTTGGTCAACTTATAACATGTGTTTAAAAAACTGAAATTCGTTCAATAACATATATAACTTCCATTAAAGGTGTAAAACATAGGAATAAAACAATAAATAAGATCTAGTCAACAATGGTCGTAATATTTCTATAAACAACAATAGGTAAGAAATTGGCTATATACTATTATTATTATTATAAACATGCATATCTATAACATGAGCTTCTTAATCTTGGTCTTCTACAGCTGAGTATATATGTCCATTAAGCATTCTTCTTCCACCAAGAGGCTGTTAAACAAATAACAATAATATAATATATATTAATAAAATGCTCCGCTGGGCGCAGCTTGATACGACCGCAGAGGTCCAACCCTGAACAGTTGGGGCAAGTATGGACACAACATTCAAGCTTGATACAGCACTGAATTTGGATTGTGATTAAATATTTGACACAGCATAGGTTTCTGACACAGAATGAATGTGGTCTAAGAACCTAAAAAAATTTAATTTACCTATTCAAACCATATCATTATTATTTGCTTTTATATATAAATCGGAAATAACGAATTTAAAATGGAAAATTTTAAAGGAAAAAAAGGAAAAAAAGGAAATAAAATCCCGCCCAAATTTTTTGAACCCCCTTATGATTCATCGCCCCCAAACTCAATCCCAGCCTTCCCTTTGTGGTATGGTACCTTGCAGTACAATTTCAGAGAGATCCATACACTTGAACACAAGTTATTGTCTGGAAACTAGAAAAATGCTTGTTTTTGGCTCCAAATTCCTAAACGTTTAGGGCAATTACCCCCAAACTCAAACCCAGCTTTCCCTTTGTGATATGGAACCTTGTAGTACAATTTCATAAAGATCCATACACTTACACACAAGTTATTGTCCTGAAACTAGAAAAATGCTTGTTTTATCCATACACTTACACACAAGTTATTGTCCTGAAACTAGAAAAATGCTTGTTTTTTGCCCCTTTTTGGCCCCTTATTCCTAACATTTTGAGGCAATTACCCCAAAATCAATCACAGCATTCCCTTTGTGGTATGGTACCTTGCAGTTCAATTTCAGAGAGATCTATACACTTGAACACAAGTTATTGTCTGGAAACTAGAAACATGCTTTTTTTTTACCCCTTTTTCTTAAACATTTTGGGCAATTACCCCCAAACTCAATTCCAGCATTCCCTTTGTGATATGGAACCTTGTGGTACAATGTCAGAGAGATCCATACACTAACACACAAGTTATGTCTGGAAGTTACAAAAATGCTTATTTTTGTCCCCTTTTTGGCCCCCAATTCCTTAACTATTGGTACCATAACCCCCAAAATCAATCCCAACCTTCCTTTTGTGGTATTGAACATTATGGTAAAATTTCAAAGAGATCCATTCACTTAAACTAAAGAAAGAGTGCGAAAACCAATGTGTCTTCAAACGACGCCAACGACGATAATAAAGTCAACAGCACCCATCAATTACCGCATGGTAAAATTTTAATGTGGTCTTCATGTTTCACCAATAGGTGTGGCGTCTTCAGGACAAATACAAGTATGAACAATTACTGTGAAGTATGAATTCTGTGGTTGTGTGGTTTGCAGAACTACATGTGGTAATAAATGTAGTCATAACGACATTATTGTGAATTGAAAGTGAAAGTAATAATGTATGTATAAATAGAAATTAAAAATGTAAATAAAAAGTTATATATAGAATTGTTAGTACTTTCTTGTCTTGTAACAGTGGATCGTGTGGTTGGTATCTATGCCGTTCACTTCAATGTTGTGATATTTTCCTGGAATGTGCCGATATCCTTCCAGTCCTTGATAGCTAGAATATTTACTTTTAAACTGAGTTTTACTGTGTGTATTGCTATGTGTTTCTTTATTCTACATTGGCTAGAGGTATATGGGGAGGGTTAAGATCTCACAAAACATGTTTAACCCGCCACATTTTTGCGCCTGTCCCAAGTCAGGAGCCTCTGGCCTTTGTTAGGGATCATAGATTTATTCTTACGAGGAAGCTCCGAGCATGCTTGGAGGATGCTCGGAGCTTTTTAAGTAGGCTCTTTTCAGCAGTTTATGTGACAATAATTATCATGATCCATTAAGATGTCAATCAAATCTACACCACTTCTATAATAAGGAAAGTAGAGCATTATAGAAGAAGCTCAATTAACACCTGTGTAAACATCTGGTCTATTCAAATACATTTTGCATGAAATTTTATGAAACTATAAAATAGATTAGAAATTTTTCAACAGTACTGTGTAATGATTGGAAAGAAATCTCAAGTATCCACAAAAAGTAAAAGTCATTTAAATATTTTCTTATTATATTTAATAATCATTTTTTTTTCTATAATAAAAAAATTCTCAAATTTTATAATGAGTTGATATGATTTAAATATAGTTTATATTATATAATATGCTACATAAAAGTTATCAAGACACAAACAACAGTCAGGGGGCAATACTAAACAAGTTATTTTTTTTAGTTACTTATATAGGTATTTTTTGTTTTTAAAAATTATTTAATAACTCAATAGTTATTTTAAATGTCAAAAGAAGCATGGACTAAATGAAGTTTTTAAGAATTTTTAGATCATTTCATTAAATAAAATTAAGTATTTATCCAATTTGAGATAAGTATAGAGAGGTTACTTTAAAATAATAACAAAAATATTACTGTTATAAATTATTTTATATATCTTTGAAAAACTTAGTACTTACAATTATTTAAGGAACATATGTAATTGTTTTTGATTAAGATTACAAATTATAAATAACTTCAAGTCTTAATTACATCATAAGGTTCCATCTATTCATACCTGTCCATCTCTTAGATTTTAAGGGAAAATGATATTTTAATAGCCCCAAGAGACCAATCGTTGACCAAGAAGTGTGGCATCAGAAAGGCAATTAGTGTTTCAGGAGGATTTGAATAGTTTTATATTTCATTGGGAAAATAACCAGATGTCTGTGAAAATTTGTTAACGCTAGTAAAACCTGTATGAATGGACACATATAAAAATAATATTAACAGAAGTTACTTAGTAATATTTGAAACAGCCTCATTTTCAACATAACTTGTATAGGTAATTTTGAAAATTACTTGTTTAAGTAGTGCCTCTAACTAAACAATGGTAATATGTTTTTTTTTATATAAAAAAGCAAACTTAATTCTTTTATAGAAAATGATGGCTACTTTAGGAAAAGTTGTAATTCAGTATTGGACGGCTGGTTTGAGGGGGTAATACCACCATTGTTTTCCCTCTAGTATGTCTCTCTTTAATTGGCATTTTTTTTTAAATTGTGCAGATTTGGCTTTGTTTTAAGTAAAGAAATACTTGGCATGAGTAAAGTTTTATCCTGTCCAGTGTTACAGTGAAAATCTAACATAAAATTGTTTTCCTCTATCAGTCTTCGTTTAATTGGTATTTTTCAAAAAAAATGTGCAGAATTTATCTATGTTATAAATAAAGAAATGCTTGACATGAGTAAAGATTTATCCTGTCCTGTCCTACAGTAAAAATACAACATAACTTTTCAGTGCATATAAGAAAGTAAACATCACCAGAAGTTAACCAATGAAATTCTCTCCCCCTTTTTTCCCTGTTTACAAGCTTTAGTAGCCATGTCCCCTAAAATTTCCAAAATATTTTATAGAACACCAAATAGAATCTCTTTATTGCTTTGAAACACCCAAGATACATGAAACTGAATGTACTATGTTTTGGTAGTATGGTTATAAATAAATAACCATAGCTTGTGTCTTTGATGATTTTTATATTTCATTTTATATAGTATAAATTTAAAATATATTTATATTTTAAATATAAAATTTGAGTATTTTTTTTATATTGAAAAAGAATGATAATTATTCAGAAAATGTTTTAAAAACATTTTCTTTCTGTGAAGACTTGATATTTCTTTCCAAGCATTGTACAGTTCTATTGAAGAATTTCTCACCTATTTTATAGTTTTGTAAAATTAATGCAAGATTCATTTCAATAGACCAGATGTTTACACAGGTGTTAATTGAGCTTCCTCTATAATGCTCTACTTTCCTTATTATAGAAGTGCTATAGATTTGATTGACATCTTAATGGATCATGATAATTATTGTCACATAAACTGCTGAGAAGAGCCTACTTAAAAAGCTCCGAGCATCCTCCGAGCATGCTCGGAGCTTCCTCGTTAGAATAAATCTATGGTCCCTTAGTCTAGTATGTTTTTTTAATTTTAGTTCATTTATATGTTTTGGAGTTCAGTGTGACGTCCATTTTCACTGAACTAGCACACAATTTTAGTTAGGGGCTAGCTGAGGACCACCTCTGGGTGTGGGATTTTCTCGCTGCATTGAAGACCCATTGGTGGCCTTCGGCTGTTGTCTGCTCTTTGGTCGGGTTGTTGTCTCTTTGACATATTCCCCATTTCCATTCTCAATTTTAGTTACAACTTTGGAAACGGCCCTAAGTTTATCTATATATTCCAGCTATCACTTCCTGGAAGGATATCGGCACATTACAGGAGAATATCCCAACATTGAAATGAACGGCATAGATACCAACCACACGATCCACTGTTACAAGACAAGAGAGTACTAACAATTCTATATATAACTTTTTATTTAAGAAATAATTCATGAAAGCCATAGATGTGTTGGAAATTTACACATGGCCTGGGCCATGATATTAGAATTTTATCCTTAGCGTTAGTGAGGGATAAAATTAACGAATATCACAGCCCAGGCCATGTGTAAATTTACAACAAATCTATGGCTTCCATGAATTATTTCGATTCTAATAGGACAAAAACGGTCATTAAAAAACTGAAGCGAGGGTGGGTATGTCGTGTGTGTTGCTGTTCTTTTTTACTCCCTGTTAGATAAAGCTAAAACATTCTAATAAATCTGTAGCTTGCATAAATTATTTCGTAAACGACCGCTAGAAAAAATGTGCTTAATTCTTTTAATTCTCAAACCCAACATTTGCCATTTTTAATTTACATGTTTTTCTCGTAAGCTACCGTCAAATCCAAAGTTGACCTTTCGTAACTAAGGAGCCGCCATGTTGACTTGCTGAAATCAGTAAATATGCGAATAATGCAATAAAATAGAAAATAAAACAACACCTACCTCAAAAATCCATTTTAATGTAATATTATACGAATTTCGATGGTTCACGTAATGGAAAACCTTCAGCTTTAGCGTTTTCATTTGTATGACGTCATGTTTTGAAATGACTTAAATGCGCCAAAAGCATTAATGGACTTTCGCGGAATTTTATTTTATTTTGATTTTGTAGATTTCTCCGAGCTCTTGTGCATTAATTCTTTTTGTTATGCATCCGAATAAGAATAAAAGTTCTGTAGTCTTTTTTCAATTGCAATTTTTAAATCAATAAAATATGCATAGCGTTTGCAAATAGGTTCCAATACATGTGGATTTACAAGGGGGGTATATTGTAACATCCATTATTATGTATATCTCTGAGTCTGCACTAAGTATAGATATATCGAGAATTTTATCACGGTGTTGTTTACAAAGCGAAAGAAGCACTTCATATTAGAATTACATTTTTAATTTCTATTTATACATACATTATGACTTTCACTTTCAATTTACAATAACATCATTATGACTACATTTATTACGACATTTAGTTCTGCGACCACACAACCACAGAATTCATACTTCACCGTAATTGTTCATACTTGTATTTTTCCTGAAGACGCCACACCTACTGGCAAAACATGTAGACCACATTAAAATGTCACCATGCGGTAATTGATGGGTGTTGTCTTTATTATCGTTTTATTTACTTATCTAGTGAAAGACAACTGTGAATACCTTTCGGTATCCACCCACTATTACTCAACCGCATGATTACTACTTCAGGTGTTGGTTCACTCTATATAATTCTATGAGGAAATTAAGAATTTTGCAGTTGTTGTAATACAGATATTTATTTGGCTAAAATTAAAACAAAATCACAGTATATAATGTTCTTTTAAAAGGTGAGATTGTCTTCTTGGGCATCATACATAATATATTTTTTACTAATATAACCACAAAATATTTATGCATACTTTTAAATATGTAAAGATTGTTGGCTAAAATGTTAAAACCTAACAAATACAAAGTTCTCACAACTGAAACGTACACTTTAAGACACTAATACTTCTCATGGTAATTTGTTTAATACAATGCACCAATTCTAATTCATATTATTGAAATCGTAAGTGAAAATACAAGGCCTACTGATGTAAACATTATCATTATTAAAGGTTTCAGATAACAATATATAATCTCACCTGGGAAATCAAGACCCTTGTTATTGACAGGACCATCAATATAATCTTTCATCTGAACAGAAAACTTAGTCCCATCACCATTATATCTGTAAACAAATTGTTTATTGGATTAAATGTAAACTATGCAGTCAGAGAGTTATAACAACCACAGGTCAGGATGACCACTATATGCTGCCACTCAAATCTCAGTTATTTAGTCTTTTGGCAAATGTATTGCGTGCTATGAATAACAAATATGTTTAAACAAATAACTGGTGAAATATTACATTCATTATCATTCATGCTCTGTTTGCTTGAATTCACAACAGTTGTCTCCTTCCAAGGAAGGTATCTTGTTAAATATGTATATATCCTTGAATTGTAGGTCAAGAACAATGCTAAGTATAATTGAGCAATATCATATCAAAATGTTACTTTAGAAATTGCATGTAAATGTGATCAAAATAAAAATTGAAATTTCTTTTTAATTAAAAAGTGATATTAATCCAGTTGCATTAAAACATTGCGAAAAAATTTTGAAATTGCAGTACATCAATAATTAATAATGTTTGACAGTGACTCAAAATATGATTCAGAATTTCATAATGATTGTTCTAGTTAGATTTCATTGGTCTGTTGTTGTTTTAGTTTTTTAGGAGTCAGTGTGTTGGTGGTTGATGTGGACCTCTGTGGTATTTTGGGAGTCGGTGTGTTGGTGGTTGATGTGGACCTCTGTGGTATTTTGGGAGTCGGTGTGTTGGTGGTTGATGTGGACCTCTGTGGTATTTTTGCCAATTCATGGCATCCCTCTTTTTTTATTATTCATATTTCAGATACAATGATACATAATTTCACACAAAATCTATCAATTATAGTTCGGACCAATAATCATGTATTAGCCCCAGTTTCAAAGACTTAGGAAGCCAATGTTACTGAAAATCATGTGTGTTTTGGGGTTTTTTTTATTGGTTATTGGATTGCAATGTGGTTGAAATACCCCTGCATTAATGTCCTATTGGTGTATTTGATTTAATTTTTTAAGATTCATGATATCAACATAATTTAAATTCTTACTTCTTGAAATTTTCCTCTGAGTCCCATATTTCATACAAAGCAAATGATCCAATGTCCTTATAATATCTAACACATGTGCTACAAAGTATAATATATTTTAAATGACCATTATTTATTAGTAGTAATTAAAGACAGTCTGACTTTTGGCTTTCCAACAAAATAACTTATAATAAAGAAAAGTAATGTTGTAAAAACAGTACAGAAATCTGATTTTTAAGCAAATCTTAATTCAATATTCAAATATTGTAAAATGAAATTTGTGGCTGATATAAACATTAAAATATGTTTGTTTAAGCATTAAATTGAGGCAAGTGTAGGTTATCAGAAAATACAACATTAATTTCTGGAGGTGAAATTAAGTTACAAAAAAATACAACATTTCAGGGCTAAAGAGATATTCAGTAAATTCAAAGAATTCTGAAATTTATAAACCAGATAAATATTCACCTGAGACATCCCTCTGTATTATTAGCACCCTCGATGTAAGTTCTCATAGCCTTCCTGAAAACCTCTTTACTATCTCCTTTAATATTTGTCTCAAATTCCACCAAGTAAAACTGTAATCAGAAATATCAATTATCTTCCCTTGAATTATGGAAAATGTATTTAGACTGCAATCATGAGTAATGTTTTTCTCTCCTCTTAAATGTTTTATTTATTTTTTCATAGGTCTTGAATAACTATCAAAAGCTTGTACACATTCCTTGAAAATGTCATGCATTTGTTTAAAAATAAATGTGGATAGTGTCCACATGTGGACACAGATGATGCCCCCGCTTGCATATCATATAGTTATAAAGGGACATAACTGAAGAACAGTAAAAGTGACGCTACCCAAATTTGAACTTGATCCAAGTTTTGTGGTAATAAGCATTGTGTGTAAGTCTCATAACATTTAGTTGAGGCTAAATTAAGTAGAGAACAGAAACTAAAAATTCAGCAATTTTTCTATTTGTAAACACGCATAATTCTAGAACCGTTGTGTATAAGTTTAATAACATTTGGTTGAGGCAAACTAAAGTTAGAAAACGGAAACAAAAAATATGTACTTGATCTTAGTTTTGTGGTAATGAATATTGTGTACAGGTTTCATAATGTTTGGTTTGGGCAAACTTAAGTTACAGAATGGAAACTAAAAATTTTGCAATCTTTCGATTTATAAAGGGGCATAACTCAATAATGGTTAAAGTGACACTACCCAAATTCAACTTGATCTGTGTTTTATCAGTGGAAGTCAAAATTTAACATTGCATTGTATAGAGCATTGATTGTAGTTGATTCAACTATAATCATGGACAAAGGAAGATAACTCCAATTTTAAAAATAATTTGATATTTAGTAGATAATAAAAATTTTGCAATTTTTCCATTTATAAAGGGGTATAACTCTAGAACAGTTTAAGTGACGCCACCAAAATTCAAACTTGATCTCTGTTTTGTGGTAATAAGCATCGTGTATATGTTTCATAACATTAGGTTGAGGCAATCTTAAGTTACAGAACGGAAACTAAAAATTTTGCAATTTTTCCATTTACAAAGGGGCATAACTCTAGAGCGGTTGAAGTGACGCCACCAAAATTCACACTTGATCTGTGTTTTGTGGTAATAAGCATTGTGTATAAGTTTCATAACATTTGGTTGAGGCAAACTTAAGTTAGAGAACGGAAACTAAAAATTTTGCAATTTTTCCATTTATAAAGGGGCATAACTCTAGAACGGTTAAAGTGACGCCACCAAAATTCAAACTCGATCTGTGTTTTGTGGTAATAAGCTTTGTGTATAAGTTTCATAACATTTGGTTGAGGCAAACTCAAGTTAGAGAACGGAAACCAATTTTGGGACGTACGGACGGACGTCGTACGTACGTACATACGTACGTATAGACGGACAAGGGTAAATCTTAATGCCCCCACTGCTACGGCGGGGGCATAAAAATCTTGTTCTTTCAAATTAACTAGTTTGCAAGACTTGTAGTTTCTTTTATCCATTTTTAGAATTCTTTCAGATAGTTTAAACATATTTTATTGTTCAAAAATGACAATATCTATTGACTCTGACTAACTAAGAAATAGGGAATCAGTAAAAGGTAAAAGCTTAAATAAACCCAAGCAGGCCAGCTATAATAAAAGCCATTGTAAGGAAAATTAATTGTCCTTATCTGGTATCTCTTACTTTATCTGATGACAAAGCCTCTAAATCTTCATCCACAAAGCCATCAGTGTTTACCTGAGAAAGTGAAAGTAAATCATCTATTTTTATCATATATAAATATATATATATAAGTCTAAATTGAAAACAACGTTCAAACCTTTGATTGCGTTGGATAAAAATAGCAATTTTTATACGTGTGCATGCAAAACAAATTTCTTGGTAGAGGGAAAATATATATATGCATGTAGAATTCCAACTCCTGAAATTTTGAAAGTTCCATGATTTAAATAGACATTCAATCTTGTAAATATCCCCCTTTAACTGGATGAAAACAGTATCATTTTAAAGATAATATGATTTTACTTGTTAGACAGTAGTGTCTTTTTTACTGATATCAACAATATTTTACTCCACTTTTGCCCATGTTTGACAGGTATTCAAAATGACTATTACATCGTCGTAAACTAACAGTCAAATTATGCTTGGTGTCTGACTGGTATAATTCAACAAACATCATTAATATATAAATAGAACATTTTATCTAATTTCTGTAGCTTCCTGAGATTACTTACACCATGTTCTAGTCTGTCCAGTAAAGTAGAAAGTCTGTCTACCTGGGCAGTCAAAGTTGAAGACATTGTTCCTAAAATAAAAAACAGCAAAACTCAGTAATATACAATAAAGAAAATAACAGAATATATATTTTTAACCACAAATCATTGATCAAATGTAAATATGATTACACAATCATCTTATTCAGACCTGGACTGATCAGTTTTACCATTTTTAACATCTAGTATTGTCAAAGCATGAGAAATGAAAGTGACATTCAATAATAACTAAAGAGAGGTGAAAGATACCAAAGTGACATTCAATAATAACTAGACAGGTGAATGATACCAAAGGGACACTCAATAATAACTAGAGACAGGTGAATGATACCAAAGGGACATTCAATAATAACTAAAGAGAGGTGAATGATACCAAAGTGTCATTCAATAATAACTAAAGAGAGGTGGAAGATACCAAAGGGACATTCAATAATAACTAAAGAGAGGTGGAAGATACCAAAGTGTCATTCAATAATAACTAGAGAGGTGGAAGATACCAAAGGGACATTCAATAATAACTAAAGAGAGGTGAAAGATACCAAAGGGACATTCAATAATAACTAGAGAGAGGTGAAAGTTACCAAAGGGACATTCAATAATAACTAGAGAGAGGTGAAAGATATCAAAGGGACATTCAATAATAACTAGAGAGAGGTGAAAGATACCAAAGTGACATTCAATAATAACTAGAGAGAGGTGTAAGATACCAAAGGGACATTCAATAATAACTAAAGAGAGGTGAAAGATACCAAAGGGACATTCAATGATAACTAAAGAGAGGTGGAAGATACCAAAGGGACATTCAATAATAACTAGAGAGAGGTGAAAGATATCAAAGGGACATTCAATAATAACTAAAGAGAAGTGAAAGATAACAAAGTGACATTCAATAATAACTAAAGAGAGGTGAAAGATACCAAAGGGACATTCAATAATAAATAGAGAGGTGAAAGATACCAAAGTGACATTCAATAATAATTAAAGAGAGGTGAAAGATACCAAAGGGACATTCAATAATAACTAAAGAGGTGAAAGATACCAAAGGGACATTCAATAATAACTAAAGAGAGGTGAAAGATATCAAAGGGACATTCAATAATAACTAGAGAGAGGTGTAAGATACCAAAGGGACATTCAATAATAACTAAAGAGAAGTGGAAGATATCAAAGGGACATTCAATAATAACTAGAGAGGTGAAAGATACCAAAGGGACATTCAATAATAACTAGAGAGGTGAAAGATACCAAAGTGACATTCAATAATAACTTAAGAGAGGTGAAAGATATCAAAGTGACATTCAATAATAACTAAAGAGAGGTGAAAGATACCAAAGGGACATTCAATAATAACTAAAGAGAAGTGGAAGATATCAAAGGGACATTCAATAATAACTAGAGAGGTGAAAGATACCAAAGGGACATTCAATAATAACTAAAGAGGGGTGAAAGATACCAAAGGGACATTCAATAATAACTAGAGAGAGGTGAAAGATATCAAAGGGACATTCAATAATAACTAAAGAGAGGTGAAAGATACCAAAGGGACATTCAATAATAACTAAAGAGAGGTGGAAGATACCAAAGGGACATTCAATAATAACTAAAGAGAGGTGAAAGATATCAAAGGGACATTCAATAATAACTAAAGAGAGGTGAAAGATATCAAAGGGACATTCAATAATAACTAGAGAAGTGAAAGATACCAAAGGGACATTCAATAATAACTAGAGAGAAGTGAAAGATACCAAAGGGACATTCAATAATAACTAGAGAGAGGTGAAAGATATCAAAGGGACATTCAATAATAACTAAAGAGAGGTGAAAGATACCAAAGGGACATTCAATAATAACTAAAGAGAGGTGGAAGATACCAAAGGGACATTCAATAATAACTAAAGAGAGGTGAAAGATATCAAAGGGACATTCAATAATAACTAAAGAGAGGTGAAAGATATCAAAGGGACATTCAATAATAACTAGAGAAGTGAAAGATACCAAAGGGACATTCAATAATAACTAGAGAGAAGTGAAAGATACCAAAGGGACATTCAATAATAACTAGAGAAGTGAAAGATACCAAAGGGACATTCAATAATAACTAGAGAAGTGAAAGATATCAAAGGGACATTCAATAATAACTAGAGAAGTGAAAGATACCAAAGGGACATTCAATAATAACTAAAGAGAGGTGAAAGATACCAAAGGGACATTCAATAATAACTAGAGAAGTGAAAGATACCAAAGGGACATTCAATAATAACTAGAGAAGTGAAAAGATACCAAAGGGACATTCAATAATAACTAAAGAGAGGTGAAAGATACCAAAGGGACATTCAATAATAACTAAAGAGAGGTGAAAGATATCAAAGTGACATTCAATAATAACTAGAGAGGTGAAAGATACCAAAGGGACATTCAATAATAACTAAAGAGAGGTGAAAGATACCAAAGTGACATTCAATAATAACTAAAGAGGTGAAAGATACCAAAGTGACATTCAATAATAACTAGAGAGAGGTGAAAGATACCAAAGTGACATTCAATAATAACTAAAGAGAGGTGAAAGATACCAAAGGGACATTCAATAATAACTAGAGAGGTGAAAGATATCAAAGTGACATTCAAACACATAAGTCGAAAATAAACTGACAACACCAAGGTAAAAAAGGAAACCCCACTAAATACCGGGGTGATCTCAGGAAGGGTAAGCAGATCCTGCTCCACATGTTCCATGTGTCTGCATCTCTATACTTGCTTCTTTTATGCAAAACAAATGTTTTACAAGAATAACCACAGTATGTTATCTGATATACTTCAGAAGGAGAAATAACAGTAATGTTTGGTCAACATTTTTTTTAATTTCTAGTTACTTTTGTAGTCATGTTTATAGAGTCACATATCATAATTTCCCATAGGAAATATTTTTTTGGGCTTAACAATTCTCAAAAGTTTGGAAGTAAATAATCCTCTAAGTTATTTTTAGAATGTTATATTAAACTCTATAAGCAAAGGTGACAATATTTTTGTTGTGTTGGTATTTATAGACATTAATTTCCAATTTATCCCAAGATGTTTGTAACAAATGTTTTGTAAAATTAAATATAATTCATAATGCATAAAGCATGTTTGATAGCAGTAGGGTCATCAACAACATATCTCAAAGGTGATTAACAATTTTAAATTACCCAAAGTTTGTAAGGAATTTGGTAAACTGATTTTTTAATATATCATCAACCCCCCCTACCCCACCCCGCCCCCCCTCCGTCTCGAAGACTAACAAAACAGCCACAATTGTGCCAGGTGAGCTGAAAATCAATTATGTATATGAAATAAATAAATAACTACCAGTAAGTCATTTGAATAAATGTTTGGAGAGAAAGCTGTTGAAATAAGAAATCATTTACCATCAAAAATACTGTTTTGTGACTGGTTACTGGTTTGACGTTTAGCACGTCTTCCCACACGTCCTGGTGTAATATCAGATTTCTTCAGAACGTCAGATGCTTCAACTGGCTTAATATCACCACTACAATTAAAATAAACTGTGTGTCAGACTAAATGTTTCTTATAAGCATTATTACAATAAATCTTTTTATATGTATAGTTTACAGAAATATATATGTAATGATTTCATAAATCCATACCTGGAAACCTGGAAAGTGGAGTCAATGCATCAGACATGAACATAGACATTGAATGCAAATAAAATTTCGGAAAAAATTTTAAAAAAATAGCATTCTTAGTTTTCTCTGCTTCAGTATTGAGACTAATTTTATCATAAAAATATATGCAAAATATGTTTCTTCAGAGAGAAAAAAATTGATATGAAATATGTAATTTTATCAATTATTCTTGATAGGTCTACCTGACTTCAAAAAAGACTTTCATGAAGTTTTAAACAAGTGAAACTGCGAGCTACTGCTCACTGATGATACCCCTGCACAAATATTTCGGTAAACAGGAAGTTGTTGAGTGATGAATCTGAAAACACATCACACGGTATATATAAACCCTGAAACCAAATTTCAGAAATCCTTGTATTGTAGTTCCTGAGAAAAATGTGATGAAAATTTTCAACTTGGCTATCATGTGCAAAATGATACAAGTGTTCGGTAAACAGGAAGTTGTTGAATGATGAATCTGAAAACGCATCACACGGTAGAACTGATTTATATAAACCCTGAAACCAAATTTCAGAAATCCTTGTATTGTAGTTCCTAAGAAAGATGCGACGAAAAATATTCATGGGATAGAAGGACGGACTGACAGATGGACTGACGGATGGACAGACAGAGGTAAAACAGTATACCCCCACTTTTTTAAAGCGGGGGTATAATAAAAATGTAGACAATAGACCTATAAATTTTCAACACTTGGTTCTAAGCATTACCACAGACCTTTCTTCCTTAGCTAGTTCATCCATTCCTTCTGATGCAGATTCTAGAGGTAACTGTAATGCTGACACCTGATTGGTCACTTCCTTCATCAGGAAACGTTTAATGAACTTATTCATTCTGGTCTCTGCTGGATATGTCTGTGGACAACAATAGTAAAAATATATATCATTCAGTGCCCTGCCTAATCTGCTTTATTTATATGCTATGACATCTTACCTGATTTTAAAATCTCATGATTAAGATTCTTTTTATCATTGAAACACAATTTCCTTTCAGTTATATGAAGAGAACAGACATGTTTTTTTTCTAGACACCTAAGCCCAACCCATTAAGAAATGAGAGATGATTTTTCCATATAAATATCATTCTTGTTTAAACTTTATAAAAAGGGTTTCAGACTTCAATTTGTTAAGATTTTTTTACACTTTGGAAGTCGGAAATATTTGGTGTCATGAGTTACCTCCCATTTTTGCTTCCCAAGACAAATGACATTTCATATATTTTTTTTCCTCTTATCATAACTATTTTTTGACTACAAGTTAAAATTCATAAAAAAAAAAAATTAAAAAAAAGTACCTTTTTAGGCCATGCACCTATATTTCAATTTTTTTTACATAGAATTTTTTATCAGTAAATATGAATAAAAGCTTAAAACAGGAGCCATGTTAACTTTTTTGTGTAATTTTGTATTTGTGATAAATTGCTTATATTGTTATGTATGATTAATAGATTTTAACTTGAAAACCAGCATGTAAAGATAGATTTTGAGACTGAAACCATCATAATGAATATCTATAATTGTTTATTAAGTATGTTTCTTTGCAAATCTTAAAATACTGAAAATTTCAAGATCCATTGAACAGTTATTAACATAAGAAGGTCTAACATATTCTGATTTTGTGAAGTTTGAAAATGGTATTATTGTCTATTTTTACAAATGATTGAATGATGACTGCTTTACATCCAGGAGCAAATGTTGCATGCATATTCAGAATGGGGAAACATCCTGCTTTGTACTAGACTTACACACTTTGCAGGATTTTTCATGTTCACGAAGAAAATAAATTCACCTTATCCATACAAATAATGTGGGTAATAAACCAACATATATTATCTGCTATAACTTCTAAATATTGTGAAGAGGCAGGAAATTATAATTTCAAAGTCTATGATTTGACCCATTGAAAATCCAACAAATGAAGCAATCAATCAACTTACCTTTGCTGTAGTATGCAAAGCCGTATTAATCTTGGTATGAAGATCTTCCACCACATCATATATCTGTTTAAATTCTCCCAAATGTTGGGAGAAAAACTGACAAAGCTCACCAGGATCTATGTAACTAAAAATAAAATATGTTTAGTTCTGAAAGCTACAGTTAAACTTTCCATACCAATCCTTTAAATCATTTACTAGCTATGGGGTCATTTGTTATCTATGAATAGTTATATTGGTTGGAGTTCACTTGATAAGGATATAAAAATGCCTTAACAATGAATTGTAATGTCAATGGTCTTAAATTGTTGTTGTCTGTATGGAAATATGTAAGTAAATTTTGTACCTTGAAATTACAATTTTGCTTTGATCTTTCATATTTTTGGCTTTAAATCTGCATGTCCCTTACTATGGCTAGCCCCTCCCTTACTATAGCTAGACACAAGGACAATTTGGTTACATGAGAAACATGTTTGTACTTTGTCTTTTTAAGTGATTTGCATAGAAATAAAGTTAACAAGACCACACTTTTCACGATAAACTTCAAGCTTTAGCATGCAAAACCATTGTAATCCAGCTCCTGTAGTATGATAATCACAAGTTCTAATATGACGTTCTTCTTTTGCTTTGGAAACAAAGCCATGTTCTAATTCCAATAAAACATGGGCTGCATGTGATTGATGTCACAATTGAAATTGCAACGTCAGTTGTATTTTGAACAACGCAGGAGATCAGAATGGACATTTGAGTTGGTGTTGCTCGCTAGGAAATAAAATAAAATCATTCTAAAAGTCAGTTTAAATTTATCTGTTCATTTTTTATCGTTAAACTGTTGATTTTCTATGACGTTTTTGGTTCATCAAATCAAAATGGCTGCCTTTTGAGCGTGTATTATAGGTCTGCTTCGAAGTACAAAAGTACAAAATTTTCCTATTAGAATCGAAATAATTCTATCATGCCATGCTCTATGCTCATTTTAACATGGGTAGGCATTATATTTGTCAACAATTAACACCTTGCTTACGCTCGGTATCAAAATATTGACAAATATAATGCCTCCCATGTTAAAATGAGCATAGAGCATGGCATGAAATAATTATTTCTTAAGCAGCAACACTAACAATAACTTTTACAATTTAGCAACAACCATCACATTTAAGAGTCATATATGTTTACATTACTTACTTGGTGTTATGTGTGTCAATCTGCTTAAACAAAGTCTCCAATTCTTCTTTCCCCATGACACCATCGGCAAAGAAGGAGACAAACTCCTCCCACGATATCTGTCCATTATCTGTAAAAACCAATCAGATGAATGAAACAAAATATTTTTACATGATCGTAGACTGATCTATTTAAGTATCAGACAATGTCCCATAATTGGCAATAAAAAGTAAATAAAAAATAATGTGTAGTTCTCTACTGGTCTTTCAAACTTTATTGTATATAATTTTATATGGACCCAATCAGAAATGGTATTACACTTTGGGAATGTCATTCTTTTGGTTATTTCTAATTAGTTCAGTTGAAATAAAACTTCTGTATTGAAATGGTTTTGTTCTCTAGGAATGAATATCTTTGTAGCAATTCTATTAATGAACATGATGAAGTTTTCATGCGCTTTAACCTCTGATCTGGAATTCTAAAAAATTTCTTGTGTCCTTAATAAAAATCTCAAACGACTTATAATAAACAAGGCAGTTGTTACTGTAATTTAATATGACAGTTGATTTATGTTCATTTAGGTGAAGGTATGAGATTATTTTGTAATGAATTACAGTAAAATGACCACTTAAATTTCATATTAATAATTTCAAAGTATTAGATTGTAACCTTTACTAACCTTTTTTGTCTGCCCTTCGAAACACCTGAAAAAAGAATAATTCAAAATAAAATGTACATTATATTTATAATATATAATAGTGCAACTGTCTTTAATTTGTAATTTTCAAATTAGACTTTACTCAAAACTGCCTTATAGTCTACTATTTCGGAAACTTCTATAATTGATTATTCTTAGACATTTTTGTTAGACACTGATGCATGCTGTTTCACACCAAAGTTAAAGAACTGTAAATATATTTCATCCAAAAACACACCAGTACATCTGATTACTTTGCATGTCATACAACTTGTATGCTTTAGAATTTTTGTCTTACAATGATTAAGTTTCTAGTTTCCTACCATCAGTTTGAATAACTGGGTGAAATCGTATTTCAATGTACATGTACATATATCAATAATTTTCTATGAAACAAGAAGAATGCTTTTACACCAATCCCTTTTATTTTTTACTGTCTTTGGTGGAAAGTTTTATTGTTTCAATGGCAATCATACCACATCTTCTTATTTTTATAATGAGCTAGCAATTGACAATGAGTCTACCACAGCAAGTATCCAGTGTTCCATAGGAAATGCTTTAATTGTTGTTATATGTAAACAGTTATCTAGATTGATTGTCAAACATCAGGCTGCGTCACAGTAAACAAAGGAGAACTAATATAAACTCAATTCAATTTATTAAAGAGTACTATGTTCAGTCAATTTTATAAAATGAAACATATTCATTTTATCAAAATATAGTTATGGGGTTGTAATGCATTAAATAATGTTTTGTAAATTTGCTGCATGTGATATATTGAATCAAAAATATGAGACCCTAGTGTTCTCTCCAGGCAGATATGACGCTGCAGTCCCGCAGCACCAGAATATTTTTGTCATGATGGACTTCAGTCTATCCTGTACCTGTATTGGCCTTATTAGAATGCTTTGATTGTCATCCAATAGACAGGGCTCACACAACTGGGCGACTAGGGCTAAGAAGTTGCTTTCCTGTATCTCTCTTCATTTTTTTTTTACCATCAAAAGTGATATCAAATCACCCTGGTGTTCACAACAATTGCTTATGTCATCAGTAATTTTCCATTTTTACCAAGTTGATGAAATGGCAATTTTTTGTTTATAAGTAAAGAAATTCATAGACATTAACGATTTCTTTTTTTGGAAAATATGGTGAAAGCATTGATATGTAGATTGGTTGTATGTATGTCATTTCAACAAAACAACTTTTTATAAAGTATTTTCTTTCACTTCCGGCACTTGTTTCTCGTGAGCATTCCTCAAAACATTCTGATTTTTGGCAAAATAAGTTTGATACTGCATAAGAATGTGATCAAAATTGCTTTTAGTTAATGTTTCATCCATTCATTGCATTAAAAACATCATATTCAGGGCTCTTAAATCACTTGCCGAACATTGTTTAAATTTGTAAATTTTTCTATGTCTGCCATTGAAATGTTTATAAAAATCATGGATCACATGCGGACCAACTACAACTGAAATCTGTAGTCTGACATTAATAACTACAGAGGCACAAATGACACAGCTGACAGAATAATAATGATCCCAAAAGTAATAAAAATGCATTATTATTTAACAGACATTTGGTTTGATCCACTTAGTTAAATGTGTATATATTTCAATGCAAATACATTATTTCAATTTATTGATTTAAGTTGCTTTTTGTTAAATTTTTATATTTTTTTTAATGAGAAACAATGAATTTCATCAACAGAATAGTTTCCCTTCTTGGATTTTAATCGATAAACAATGACATGAATGATAAATGATAATTTCTTTTCCTTTGTAATTAAAGAAAAAAAATAATTCTTTAAATATTGCTAGATATTTAGTTGGTAGTTTCTGACAAGAAAAAAAAAATAAAATTGTGTAACTATGAATGAAAATTTATGACATAAAATGTCAGGTAGATTCTAGATTTTGCAAAAGCATTTTACAAGTAACACATCACTGTCTACTACACAAGTTGTAATATTATGGTGTCAACCCCATAACCAACAGATGGAATCACTCCTTCAGAAGAAAGAAAAACAAACATATTGTAGATGCTACATGTACATGTATTCAAGATCCTGGCAGCATGATCTAATCAACATAGACCGTCAACAATATCTGACCCCAAATGATCTGATGATAACTGGACCAGAGGTAAAAACCGTTTCTACCAAGAAAGAACCAGTCCAGATGCCTATGGCCATGATGGCCAATCATTCTTTTCAAGGATTATCAGGGATTGGAATAATTTCATACTTGAAAATGCATTGAAGAAGAAAATCTCAGGTCATAACGCATACGAACTTTTTTCAGCTGAATTTAAGTATTTAGGGGACATTTTTTTATATTTTAAATCGAACATATTCCAAAACTTGTTCACATGGTTAAGTATTAACTGAAAATAATTTCAAAATTTTAATTGAAATATTAATGTATTATACTATATCAATTCAAGCCAAGCCAAGCCATACCACCTCTTTTTGTTTCATTCAAAGTTTTAAATCAACCCACAAGCCACGTTTCACAGTATATTACTGTGACTAAACTGTTAGTGTTGCTCTCCACCTATTACAAATTAATTTATTCAAAATTCTGACCAAATTGCAATTAGTTTTATAAAACCGAACTGTGCAACTGGTCAGAAATTTGAACAAACTTACAATCCTATAAGACTTTAATTCCACTTCAATGTTATTATGAAAAATCAGTCGAACAGTTTGTATAGAAATTTTATTGTTATTGTCATGCTAAAGGTGATAGGTAGTAATTTTGAATTGCTAAAAAAATGTCCAAACTAAGCTTTCATACAATTTTTCTTTCGAAAAGTCTTCTATATTCATAAGAATCAGACATCATTTGAATTAAAACGTCTTATATTCAGTAAAATATATGTGAAATTACAATACATTGTTAATACGTTTCCATGGGAGATAACCTAAAACATTATTCTTTTGAATATAGAAGACTTTTCGAAAGAAAAATTGATTACCGGTATCTCCCATGGAAACTTCCAAACAACGTATTGTAATTTCACATATATTTTACTTATATTAAAGTCTTATAGGATTGTAAGTATGCATTATTTTATCACCTTGCACTTTCACAACTTGACTGTGGTTTTCTACAGCAGTTTGTTCAAATTTCCATTAAAACTAACTAACTGGGTGGTTTTTAACAAACTTGATTGGCTGTTAAGCCCTCGCACATTCGGCTCGGTGCCCTAAGGTGTTTGGTGAGTATTTAAATATTTTTGTTGTTGTCGTCAGGCTGGAAAAAGGCAGCCATTTTGGTTTAGCTGGATCAATTTGGTTTGTTTACTATTTTAGTTTGAAGTTTACGGCCTTCACAACGGCTGTTTCCAGGGCCAGGTAGGTCAGCTGTGCAGTCCACCAACCATGATGATGAAGTACTGGTCGATGAGTCTAGGACTTAGTAATAATGATGACAGCAAGTGTTATCATGACCACTGTCATGAGATGGTGAAATGACAGTCCATTATCCAACACCATGGATACAGGCCCTCGGACATCATAACACCCCCCTCCCCATCCACAATGGATTTTGGAGTGTATGCTGACGCGAACATTTACATTAAGACAAAATGCAGACTGTACACTGTTGAATTGGTTTCTGTCATCAAAAGTAGTAAGTCGTTGAGCCATCTATCAGTAGTTCAACATCGTAGATTGCGGGTAAAGTGGAGCTGTAATGACTGAGACACGACCGTAATAAAATCTATCATTTCATACTTAAATAGTCTGAAGGCTCAAGAATCTGGATGAAATGGGCCATTTTCTGAATTCCCAAGTTATTTAACGACCCAGCTGGTATTTAAAAAAAAAACAGGTGTGAGGTGAAACTGTTCAAGTTTTTAAATATAAATATTTTAAATATAAAAAAAAATATTCAAATAAATGTCTTTTCTGATGAACATTATATACTTGAATATATGTTTAAAGCACAATTTTTTATCATCCATCTTTGTTATTATTCATAAAATTACTTAATATTCAGTCAGGGGTAATATCTATACAAGTTATTTTTATTTACTTGAAGATGCAAGTAATTATATACTTGTATAAGTAAATTTGTAACATTTATATTTTCTTTTCAACAATGTTTAAGGTTTGAATAATATCCCCTTAATCTCCTCCAAAAATGTACTTATATAAGTAGTTTTATTTTACAACCCCTAAAATTCTCTAGTTTTGGGAGGTAAAAATATGCCTAAAACAAATTTTCTCTGGTTTGATAATATTTTTAAATTAGAGTTCAACCTTTCATCTCACCAATTCAACAAAGAAATAAAATTATGCAAAGATGTTAAGTACATTTTGTAACAGTGGAAGGCCTTCCGAAATTGCTCCCTGGAGGCTTGCAAATGAGCAGTTTTTTAAAGATAACAGACAAATGAGATTTGCAGCGCCTTCAAAATATTTTCGTTGATCCCGCAGCGCCTTAATTGGTCGCTGTCCAATGATTGTCCATGAAATTATACTTGTATGATTAGTAAACATGGTAAAGACATCTGCATAGGACAGATAATTAAGCACTCTATTAGAACAAAGTTGTCAAGAGGAACTCAAGAAACAAAGGAAATATAAGTTTTTGGGGGATTTCCACTTTATTCGTGACGTCATGCATAAGTATTTATCATCAGCAATGTGCTACTTCAAAAAAACTTAACTGGATATTTTTCATTGCATTTTCACTTAAATCGGCATGAAAAAGAGAAGTTGTGTATGTTCTTGCATATTATTTGTTTAAACGTCTGTTTCCACTATTACTGTTTTATTCCTCTCCTAGAATTTCGTTGAATTCCAGGGAAAATCCTTTCAGCAATATTATGTTGTGACATCTCAACAATGAGTCATCATCTATTTTTAGATCATGTGGTGCTCTTGTTCCTTTTTTAAGGCCAAGATTATTATTTTTTAAAGTCCGTAAGTGAGTGGATTTTTTTAAGATCAGAAAATGATTTGAAATATTTTGATAAAACAAAACTTGCCGACTATTGGCTGGTAAAGAGTAAATAAATATTATGCCATTGAATGCAATTTAAATGAAAAAATAACTTGATGCATTAATGATATTGTGAAATCGTTAAAGTTATTTTAAACGTGTTTAAAGTGTTTACTTCTGGACTTTCCAATTGACTATTGGAAGTCACGTGTAAAAATTGTAATAATTGTTGTAGGGAGAATAAAAAAGTTAGTAAGTCCTAATTTGTCTTTTTTTTTCGAGCTATTCATTTGTTGTTTGATCTCAATTTTATTCTGTAATGTTTCAATACATAACACAATAGGCCTGACCTATATATTGTTGCACATGCGCTAAAGCCACCATCCAAGACAAAGGTCACGAACTTACAAGTATGTCTACTTATTTTACGGAATCAGGTCACAATACGAAACATAGACAGATTGACCATGTTTCTGAAGCTATTCATCAATTAAGTGTATCAGATTGTTTGCAAATAAGTAAAGAATATTTACATTCACAGTGGATAATATTTGCTTCAAGCTAGTGATTTTTCTTTTGTTTCAAGGTAGGGTAACGAACATTTGACGAACTTCCAATCATCAAGGATATATATAATTTTTTTCTCTTATAAATTTTTTTTAAATTTGGCACGGATGGACTTTAAATTGGGGCTGAATCGACTTGGGCCAGAACAACTTTGGGACAGATTGACTTGGGCCGGATCGACATGAAAGCCGAACACACACATGAAAATGAGACAACTGTTACTAAAAGAGTATTCTTAGGAATAAATCAAACAATATATAAAAAGCAAGATAGCCTCACTGGACACAATTACGAACGATTTTTGAACTGTGATTAATTTTTTTTTATGTAGACTACTTTTCTTGAATTGTTTATACAATAGAATTTAAGATGTATGAAGGCTTTCCATTTTGCATCATATCCAACATAATTTTTTATTCATGTTAGGATCCTTTAGTAAGATTTGCATGACCTGGTTTTACGGGTCAAGTGAGCCACATATGGACGCAATTCCGAACAGCACTATTTTGATATATCTTAGCAGAAGAAATCTATGACAACAGTCTAGATTGATAAAACATACATTAATCTAATCTCAAACCAATTTCCAGAGGAAAATAAGATGCACAAGTTTGTATTTTACTTGAATTACAGCAGTGGTTGCAGATGAAATGTCTGTTTTGGGTAAAGGAAAGATTTCAGAATTGTTTTGCTTTTATGTAAGTTCCTCCTTTTAAGGAGCACTATATTTAAATTTCTCCATGTCGTTGGAGAACCTTTCATTCATCTATGAATTTTTTTTATATAGGTCAACATTTCTTTCTGAGCTCTCTGGACTTTTCAATAAAGTTAACATATTTTCTTTCGACCATAAATAGGGCCACAAGAGTCTAAAAAACGTCAATTGTGGGGTTATTTTGAGCAAGATAAAAGGCATCACACATATGAACAGAATCAGGGGATATTTTTCTTTCTATATATCTACAAAAGAAGGCAATTGGCACTTACTTTTATGTTTTTTTTTAATATAATTTCCAGGCGAGATTGTCGTTCTTATAATATTTTCAGAATGATTTTGTCATCGTCATCAACATTCACCAAGTGCACATGAATTGTATTATCATGAAAACAAGGGAATTTTAGTAGGGTTTTTATTTATCAGGTCAGGAATAACCACCAATTGGTGGATTATACCTCAATTGACGTATAATCCACCAATTGACATATATTGGTATAGACCAATTGACGTATAAAGTTTTTTGTTATAAAATGCTAGTGTGAGATAGGAGCATCATTTTGCAACTTACAACCTATTTTATGACCATTATTGAGTCCTCCGAAAGTTTCTGTTTTGTCAAAGCCTGCTGCATCTCTTGAAAATGCATGTGTACAACAATTCTTTTGTTGAAACACCTGTACTATTGACCATGATTGACTTTTAATGATGAAAGTCAAGTATTAACAAAGAGCTCCATTCACCTGTGGAGTTGTACTCATAATCACATGACTGCAGACAGTATTGATGTCCATTGACAGGTGATTAGTGGTAAATTTGCCAATCAAGAATTGACAAGTTAACAATAGAAGAAACTGCAAATACAATTATTGATTAAATGCAATATGTTATGTCACGATACTAAACTTGGAATGTTTGACATGTTTTCATACAATAATATGGTTTTAAGAAAACAATGCTCCATTTTGGTTGAATAATTTGCTTTGAAAAACAAAGAATTATACGTCAATTGGTCTATACCATTATATGTCAATTGGTGGATTATACGTCAATTGAGGTATAATCCACCAATTGGTGGTTATTCCTGACCTGTTTATAGAAACATTTATTGATAATCATAAATAAATATGATTTCAGAGGGCAAACATTTGACATTGTTCGTAATTGTGTCCAGTCGTAATTGCGTCTGGTGGGGCTAGTTTATATACATTTTACCTCATATTCTGTAATTCAAGAGACAAATAAAGTAAACAATATAATATAAAGCTAATGACATGAATTTAGGTCATAGCAATTCCCTCTTCCGTTACTAGTTAGTGTTATTCGCCCTTAGCAATACCATGAACTTATTAAAAGCCTTATAAATATAAGATAAATTCATACATCGAGAAATATTGAGCTTTGATTTGCCTGACTAGTCATCTTCTATTTTCTTCTTCTTATAAAAGGGTTGATCAATGTCAAGGGGAGCGAAACGACCACAAAGCCCATATCCTTGTCAGATATGCCCAAGTACCATCAACTTTGTATTATATGGTATTTAGATATACCACAATAATTTTCTCGGAACATATTGGATCCTACGTACAGTCAGATGATGACGATTGTATTCCGAGTAGTGTTGTCAAAGAAAACAACATGGCGACACAAGTACCTCCAGCACGAGCACTTTTTAGAAGTCATACATATTTTGGAGAAAAGCACAAAGCACTCAGAAATGGTTTGTTAATAGATACAAGCTTATCGACTTATCCCATATTTGTCTATTAGTTTGGTAACAAGTACCCACACTTCTCATACTCGACAAAGACGACATGTGCTTAAAATAGAATTTAAACTGTCATCGACCGTTTATTTTATATTTATCATAATCAGATAATTTTTTCAATCATTGTTATCATATTTACATTTGTACATTATAATTTGATTGTTCTGCTCAAATGATTTGCACTTTTTAAGTGGTAATGCTCTGATTCCTGTTTGCACCGTGTTGATCTGTTGTTTGCCTTGTTTGTAAAAATGTAAACCATATTCAGTCTTTATTATATTCTTCTACATGTATATAAACCTTACCGCTACTTGTCAGTCAACACTGGACATCACAAAGGTTCCCTTAAAAGAAAAAGGGATTGTCTTATGACATCAATAGTTCAAGTGTAGCAGATTCCCAACTAGCTATCAGGTCCATTAGCACAAGCTTGAATTATTGTTAATGAATAATCATCCATATGGTAAAATTACATTCTCAATGGGTAATTAATTCAAGGATAATGATAATTAACAAATCAACATGTCTGGCTGGTCACTTATTTTTTGTCTTTGAACCCAAAATATAAGAGATAATTAATTAAATTTGATTTATTGGTTATTTTGAGATGCATTTATATGTTATTTGAGTTGGTAAGTTGTACTTTCTCACCAAAGATTAAAGAATTATTAAAAATTGCACTCACATGGTGCAGTTTCATTTTTTTTTTATCATATTCATAAATCATGACCAAATTCATATAAACACATACATTTGTAATAGGCTGATTAAGGTTCATTATATACATGTGATAAATGTACTTGTTTTGGTAAACTACTTATTGTCATGATAGTATAAGTTCATGTTTTGATAAACTATTTGTTGTGTTAACAATTAAAGGGTGATTGGATAATAGAAATGACAGCTAATCCTTGCCGGTTCATTAACCTCAGTGAAAGACAGATTACCCTGCTGTGACAAATTATTACGATATTTAATTTTGGTTTTAAAAAAATTGTTAATGCAGGTCTAATCTATAATAATGCATTTATAGAATGTAGGATTAAGAGGTAATGGAGGAATTACATATAGCTACAATAAACTATATTGGAGAGTTATTTCCCTTAACATTGTTCTTTCTCTAAAATATTTTTTTTTAACTTTTGACAATAAAACATTTTACCCATTAATTTTACAAAATTAATTGCTGGGGATGAACATGATGAATATTTATATGAATTCAATGATAACGTTTGAAAAATAATAGTAAAGTTTACTACAAATGTATATATATAATATTGGTGAAAAAAAATAATGACTTTGTCTATTTTTACCTGATTATTTTAGATTTTGTTAAGTGCTTAGCTACAATGTTTTTGAATTAAATCTGACAGAAACAGATGGCTCATTGAAGTAGAAGACTAAGAGTGTTGAAGAGATCTTGATTAACATATAGTGTAGGCAAATGTAGAATATATATGACACATAAAAAATGCAGAGAAATATTTTTCTGAATTAAAGGCATAAAGAATCCTCCAATTGTATATATACATGGATCTATATAAGAACAAAGTCACACATGAGTACAAAAAAAAAAAAACATTTAAGTAGTTCTTTTTCAATGTCAGTGTTTATACATTTTGTAAGTATTAAAAGACATGGTACTGTTCTTCTTTTACACCAGTACTACATGCAGGTCTCAACATTAAAGGTTGTTTAATCAGTCACTTACATTTTTGTGTATATGTACCTGTTAGAAGTTTCTATGTCTGTTAATGACAAACCAAACAATCCTTTTTTTCTTGTCATGTGATTGTTTTCAGAAATTTTATCAGTAAGAATCCCTATTTAGATTCAGAGTTGACCGCTAAAATTTACATCCCATCAATGTTTTTTGTTTTTTTTTCATTCTTCCATGTGATCTCTATATAGCTTGCAATATTTTGTAGCAGAAACGTGACATAGCTATCACATATGCCGTCAGTGGTGTCAACTTTGCGGTTCAGTCGTGTGGTTAAAGTTTGATAAACATCAATAACTTTGTCAAACCTTCATGGATTATAATGAAACTAGGACAGAAGTCTATCAAGAGCAAAATTTTGAAAGTATTTTTTTTAATTTTCTGTACTGATAGATTGATTTTTTTTTTTGTGAATAGGTGTGTAAAGAATCATTCAATTAAAAGACTCAATTTTAATGTATTTTGTTGTATTTCTCTTTACAAATTACCACAGGATATGACATTAAAATGGAAAGGATACATGATTATGTTAATGTGAAAATGTTTATTTTCTTCCTCTCGGTGGTTCCAGTTAACAACCTTTCATTCCACCACTGTCCACCAAAACTGTGACACACAGGATTTTTCCTGCCTATACATGTATATGTAGGGGATAAATTTGACATCTCTCTCAATGCCAAAAAGGACAATTTTCCCAAAAACTCTATAGAAAATCTCCAATAATGTTTGAACTGCGATACAGATCAGTAAATTTCTGACAATTTTTTTTTTTTAAATTTCTTATCCGAAACAGACATTTGTTCAGTCACAATCTCTTCAGCGCTGACTGAAACATGATTTGACAATACTACTTTCATAAACAAATCTTGATCAAATTCTTTGCAAACATGTCCTGCAACAAAACAATTATTCATATAAAAACATAATAGACTGCACTGATTAACCGAAAAACAGAATGCAAAGAATAAAAAACAATGAACGTGCAAAATGACTGAAGTCTATAGGTATATTGATCTTAATTAATTCAAGAGAACAAAATTTTATGAATGCCCAACCTCGTGAAACTTGCACTGTAAGTAGTATAAATATCAAAGTTCAGCTTATTCTTTCAGCCTGTGTATGGAGTATCTGGGCCCATTAGTACAAAAAGTCTAGATCCTGAGCGACAAGCTGGGGTTGTTAGTTATAGTATATTCAACAAAAGTGTTTTAATCATGTGTAAAACAAATATGGTCCTGCTGATTGATTCAGTGTACTTCATTACATGTATATATACTCTTACTAAGTGGGAGTTCTATTGCAATGACCTTGTACATCAGTTTGTTCGTCCAACAAATTTTGTTGTTGCTCTTTTCTCAGAAACTTCTCTACAGAATGACTGCATATTTGATCAGTAGCTAGACAGTGATGAGTTTTAATGTGTGAGCACTTTCAGATCTATTCTATGATATACTGCTGATATTTGATGCATTTTCCAGTTACATGTTTTTACACTAGTAATTTTTTGGGGCCCTTTATAGCTTGCTGTTCAGTGTGAGCCAATGCTCCCTGTTGAAGGCCGTACCTTGACCTATAATGGTTTACTTTTATAAATTGTAACTTGGATGGAGAGTTGTCTCATTGGCACTCATACCACATCTTCCTATATCTATATACAACAATTAGAATTTGTAGATCAAATTTTCAAATTCTGTTCAAATGGCAATTTTCAAAGAGCCAGGTAAGAACTTGGACACTTGACCAGAGATTGTAACATCATCATGATCATGCAACAATCACTTTTGTACTGTGAAATTTTCTCTTGTTAATTCCTTTTGCAGGCAGATCTGTGATATCTAGTAATGGCTGTAAATTAGCAAAAAAAGTGTACATGCAATAAACAATGTGTAAATCCCAATGCAGGGAAAGTAACCTGACACGAATGCCAGATTAATTATTGTGATTTCAGGACATTCTGTATACAAATAAGGCTATTAAAACTTATAAAAGGCAAGTTGTTTTTATACGACCGCAAAAATTTAAAATTTTTTGGTCGTATATTGGTATGACGTTGGCGTCGTCGTCGTCCGGCGTCGTCCGAAGACACATTGGTTTTCGCACTCTAACTTTAGTTTAAGTGAATGGATCTCCATGAAATTTTACCATAAGGTTCTATACCACGAAAGGAAGGTTGGGATTGATTTTGGGGGTTATGGTACCAACAGTTAAGGAATTAGGGGCCAAAAATAAGCATTTTTGTAACTTCCAGACAATAACTTGTGTGTAAGTGTATGGATCTCTCTGACATTGTACCACAAGGTTCCATATCACAAAGGGAAGGCTGTAATTGATTTTGGGGGTAATTGCCTCAAAATTTTAGGAATTAGGGGCCAAAAAAGGGGCAAAAAACAAGCATTTTTCTAGTTTCATGACAATAACTTGTGTGTAAGTGTTTGGATATTTCTGAAATTGTACTACAAGGTTCCATATCACAAAGGGAAAGCTGGAATTGAGTTTGGGGGTAATTGCCCGAAACGTTTAGGAATTGGGGGCCAAAAAAGGGCCAAAAATAAGCATTTTTCTAGTTTCCAGACAATAACTTGTGTTCAAGTGTATGGATCTCTCTGAAATTGTACTGCAAGGTACCATACCACAAAGGGAAGGCTGGGATTGAGTTTGGGGGTGATGAATCATAAGGGGGTTCAAAAAATTTGGGGGGGGGGGATTTTTTTTTTTCTTTTTTTTTCTTTTTTTCCTTTTTTTTTCTTTTAAAATTTTCCATTTTAAGTTGGTTATTTCTGATTTATATTTAAAAGCAAATAATAATGATATGGTAGGAGATACACACCAAATAGGATGTGTAAATTATTATATAATAAGTATTGTGCAATAGCAAGAAATTTTAAATTGCACAGTATTGCACAATAGCAAGAAATCTTCAATTGCACAGTATTGCGCAATAGCATGAAATCTTCAATTGCACAGTATTGGGCAATAGCAAGAAATATCCAATAGCACAATATTGCGCAATAGCAAGAAA